TTTTTTGAGTCAGTCTCTGTTATACACGCTGGAGAACAGGATCATGGATACCGCAGCCTCAATCTGCTGGGCTCAGGTGGTCAAGTAGCTGGGACTACAGTCTTATGCCACCACATCCAGCTAACTTTTTTTTTTCTTGAGTTGGAGTCTCACTGTGTCACCCAGCCTGGAGTGCAGTGGCACTCTCACAGCCACTACAGCCTTGACCTGCTGGGTTCAGGTGATCCTTCCACCTCAGCCTTCCAAGTAGCTGGAACTATAGGCACGCACCACCGTGCCTGGCTAATTTTTTGATTTATTATAGAGATGAGGTCTTGCCAAGTTGCCTAGGCTGGTCTCGAAATCGTGGGCTCAGGCAATCCTCTCACCTCAGCCCCCTAAAGTGCTGGGATTATAGGCATGAGCCACTGCATCCAGCCTAACTTTTGTATATATTGTAGAGAAGAGGTCTCACCGTGTTGTCCAGCCTAGTCTTGAACCCCTGGGCTCAGGCGATCCTCTTGCCTCGGTCTCCCTATGTGTTGGGATTACAGGCCTGAGCCATCGCGACCGGTTTGTGTCCTGTCTTTATACCCTTTCTTTATTCCTAGTGCTTAGCAAAGGCTTAGGCATACAATACGTCCAAATATTGGTTGAATATGCCAGTAGGGAATTTAGGAGGATCGAGCCTGTTTAGGATCAGCGGTAAAAGTAGGTCTTTCATGGTAGAGCATACTTGAAAGGCAGTAACCAACAAAGAGGTGCATACTGCCTTCCTTCTTTTCCAGGCAGTAGAACGAGTCCTGTACCCACATCTGTCCACTTACTGGACAAACTTGCAGGCTGTGCTTGATGATTATTCAGTATCTAATGCTCAGGTCAAAGCAGATGGGCACAAAGTCTATGGAGCCATTCTGGTGAGTGCCAGCCCCTTCCAGACTTTCTTCCCTGCATGAGCTTGGGCTTACTTTGGAACACGCCGCAGGCCCAGGCTCCTCCTGGTTCTTGGCTGTCCTAGTCCCCCGCTCTTACAGGTGGCCGTGGAGCGACTGTTGAAGATGAAGGCCCAGGCAGCAGAGCCCAGCAGGGTTGGCCCAGGAGGCAGGGGGTGCCGGCGCCCGGATGACCTGCCTTGGGACAGTCTTCTCCTGCAGGAGTCTCCCTCCGTGGGCGGCGCAGAGCCAGGGTTTGGGTCTGGCCTCCCGCTACCGCCAGGGGGCGCGGGGCCGGAGGACCCGTCCCCCTCGGTGACCCTGGCGGACATCTACCGGGAGCTCTACGCTTTCTTCGGGGATAGCTTGGCCACTCGCTTCGGCACCGGCCAGCCCGCGCCCACGGCCCCGAGGCCGCCCGGGGACAAGAAGGAGCCAGCGGCTGCCCCGGACTCGGTGCGGAAGATGCCGCAGCTGACGGCCAGCGCTATGGTCAGCCCGCAGGGCGACGAGAGCCCCCGGGGCGGCGGCGGC